TATAGTTAGAGAGATGATTGACGACGCAGGTGAAGTGCACGTCGCGGCCTTGCGTCACCGTATGGTTCTCCAGCTCTTGTAAGAATTCCGGTTCCACCTCGGCTTGGATTGGCATCTCACCTTACAAAGTATATTTGAACACTAGATTAAACGTGTAGTACTGGGTATAACTTGTAGCGATATTTTAAGTCCAGTTTCTGAATTATTAAACGAACTTTACAAATAGCAATATATTTATGTGAATCAATGATTCCTAGAGATTTTTGACTGACTTTTTAGAAACCTGACATTATTAAATCAAATAAGACTAACTTATTTTAATACAAGTGTTGATCTGTATTATATACTTATTTATTTATTTATTTATTTAAAGCCACTCAGCACTAGTGCTGATCTTCCGTGGCCGTTGAAAATAGATGGTACTAACTAATACATTTTAAAGGTACATAATGATATTTTATACATTATAACAAACTTCTCCTTAATTGCTTATCTAATTCCATAATCTTTGTTAAATTTAAAACTGAATAATTTAACATAATGCAAACCAAGAGCATACAAATAAAATATTAAACTGCAGTTTTCAACTGCGTGTAGAGTCGTGGCAAACGTCGGATGTAAAATAAAAAAAAACAGTTACCTGTGACAAAAACAGTTAAAAATGTCGCCAGCCACCAGGCCGCCTTTGTCGACGGTGCAAACATGTGTTCACAGCTGAATCTGAAACAAGACAACGCCCAATATTAGACATGACATATTACGTTTTTTCCAAGTAAGATTACATGTATTTTATACATGTTAATAATTGAAATAATTAGTATAAAGTAGAAGTTAGAGGAGATGGAAGAAATTAGGGGAGGCCTATGTCGTACCACAACCTAACACGCAACCTGATGCTAGAAAATAAAAGTACATACATACTATATTGTTAATTGTTACTTTTATTATTTCTGTTGTTACGAGCTGTTGCCCGTGACTTTGTCTGCGTGGTATTAGAAAACTTACGTACTATATAAATAACAAAAAGCTACGTATCCCTCGGGAACTGGACATTTCTCGGGGATGAACCTTATTTTATGTGTACTCTAGACTTTGTTTTATATCTGTGCCAAATTTCAATAAGATACGTTAAACCGTTGCAGAATGATCGAGTAAACATTAAAAAACTACATTTATGAATCCCACGGAAACCGTGACTATTCCCGAGGTAAAAAGTAGCCTATGTGTTCTTCCAGACTATGCTCTAAACCTGTGCCAAATTTCATGGAGATCCGTTCAGCCGTTAAGGCTACAAACGCTAACAAACATCCAAACATCCATCCATCCATCCATCCATCCATCTAAACTTTCGCATTTATAATATTAGTAAGATAAATTAAATAAGTTGCAAATATTATAATATATGTCAGCGAATAAAAGCTTTATCTATATGTCTATCTAGAAGTAGATTCAACCAATATTATAAAAGCAAAAGTTTAGATGGATGGATGTTTGTTAGATTTTGTAGCCTAGACGGCTGAACGGATCTCCATGAAATTTGGTATAGATGTAGAGGATAGTCTGCAAGAACACATGGGCTACTTACTTTTTTCAAATCCCACGTGAACGGAGTCGTGGGCGTACGCTAGTTAAACATAATAACCAATTTCCATAAACTATTTTATCATTAACCATCAAAGTAATGGAAATAATCTAAAGCACTATATTTTGTTAAAATGTTTAAACAAAATAACATAAAGATAATCGAAATTTAAATGTAACTTATTTTTATACATCAGCAAATAATGCAAAGAAAATACTAACAGTTGCGGATTCAAATCAAGAAAAGGTTGACCATTCCCGCCGCTGGGAATATCCCCTCTATATTCAAATGACAAGGAAAATTTGTCAATAACTATATTCATTTCTTGAAGGCGAAGCGAGCAATTTTCGACTAGGCAAGCAATTGTCGAACAAAAACGACTCGACGGTCACGGGACCCGCAAGATTCAATTACCGAGGCCTGACACCGCGTCAGAACTCCAACGAGCACGGCCACCATACAAACTACTTTAAATAGATCCAAACCGACCTACTTATTGCTATTTTGATATAAAACACATTAAATTCCTAAAATCTATTACGGCTTAAAAATTAACGTAGATTAAATCGTTTAAATCTTACTAATATTATAAATGCGAAAGATTAGATGGATGGATGTTTGTTAGAGTTTGTAGCCTAAACTGCTGAACGGATTTCGATGAAATTTGGCATAGATGTATAGGATAGTCTTGAAGAACAGATAAGTTACTGTTATTTTTTAATTCCACGCAGACGGAATCGCGGGCGAAAGCTAGTCTGTTGTAATAAAAAATACACATCGCACTTAGTCGTATTATAAGTTCATTAAATTTCATGTGTGTAATTCATTAAAAAATCTGTTAATTGAAAACAGAAGTAAATAAATAATTGATACAAGGTATAAGTACTTTGCAATCGAACGCTAGTCACAAGCTTTCCCCTTGTTATTATAAGTTCGGATAAACATAAAACAATAGGCCTTTGAAATAAAATTTCAAACCCGCTCCGAAGCCGACATAAAAAGTACTGAAACAAAAATTATAGCCTTTATCAGAATTCGCTGTGGGGTCGAGACTATTTTTGTTCTTCAAAAATATTTCATCATGACTGTAATTTTCTGCAAAGCCGTTGTTTCGTGTGTCCTTATTCAATTTGTTTATGTTCAAACAGATATATTTATACAGAATGTTAATTTAACTCTAACTATTTGTATCAATTTTGCGTTAAATTATTTTACGCTCTGTTATCATAGTTAATAAAGTATTTATTGGTAGAGATGGCGAATATTGTCGACTGGCATTTGTCATCGGGTTCTCTCGCATTACAGCAAGTATTTTATATACTAGCTTTCGCCCGTGACTCCGTCCGCGTGGATTTAAAAAAAATTAAGTACCGTATGTGTTCTTCCAGGATATCCTCTACATCTATACCAAATTTCATAGAAATCCATTCAGCCGTTTAGGCTACACTCTAACAAACATCCATCCATCTAAACTTTCGCAGTTATAATATTAGTATGATTACTGTCACTTCACTGCATCCTGTTTTACTGTCAGTTGTTACAGGCGACTGGCCCATTTAAGAATACCGTTATTACACACTAAGTACAACTTTTTTTTTCCTGTAAAATAGGACGAAAGAGTGGATCTGCACAACTGTTAACCTTGGTAGCTCTTTGATATTGTTTGTTTCATTCTCGTACTCAAAACCAAGAATAACAATGTTCTAAACAGGTATATAAGAACTGAAAATCTATATTTATAGAAGTGATAAAACTTGTTATTTTTTAAGGGTATGTCCGACTTATTACGATTCCGCCGTCTAGTCATACATCACTTTCAAGTCGGCAAGTATTAATGAATTCTCGGAATTCACGTGTACTATCCTCTGATTGTTCTGATGACGGCTGCGAAATCTTTTGTTTGTTTTTATAGAAGTTATATTACGAAATTCTTTATAGGAGAGAGAGCAATTAACCAGCATTAAAAACAATATGCGTGAATAGATCCACAATACTTGAGTAATTGCAGGCACAATTTTACAGACAGACAACATATTCTATGATGAAAATGCCTTAATTTAATTAAATAATCCCACATGTAGATAGCGTTTATAAGCTCTAATTTCAATTTGATATAAGAGAATGTGAAACCTTAGATGTGGTTTGCAATTCGGTTGAACGCAATGCTGAGATTGTTTTAAAATTTAAATCTTAAAGCCTGACCGATACGTGCTGCAATGGAATATGCTTCACGACGAACTATTAAGTTCGCAGAACATATAAAACATGCATCCTCGCAGTGTAAAATTACACCACGTAACATCGGTTAGGACGCACCCTTACACGAATATGCAAATGACCTATACAGATATTATAAAGAGGGAAGATTTGTATTTTTGTATTTTTGTATGTATTGAAATAACTCAAAAACTACTGGGTCAATTTTAAAAATTCTTTCACTGTTACAAAGGTAATTTATCTGTGAGTAATAAAGGCTACATTTTTTCATTTCATTTTTATTATTTTTAAATTTCACGCGACGGAGTCGCGGGCAAAAGCTAGTAATATTTTCCACGATTCAATTTTCAATTAAATTGTATTAATACAATTAAAACTAAATCCTATGAATAAAAAACCCTAATATCCGTGTGTTAACTTGCTCTGTAAAACTTGTACTGCAAAACTTCTGTGAATTTCCTTACCTATTGGTATCCTGTTTTAACTGGCCGGTTAGAAATCAGTCTTCGTGGTGCTATAAATAAGCACACTATGTGGTTGGACCTCTTCCGAACTAATTGCATCCCTATCTATATTAATGGCCAAACCGATATTTGGATCAATATAAATTTTCCAATCTTAGACCGTAATTTGCGGTTTACACATCACTTCGATAGATCGAAATAAATTAAGTAATCTAAAATATATCTACATAAATAAAGTAAAAAAAAATCTAACATATACAAAAACGAAGAGAGAACAAGAAACGGTGCATACAGGACTTAAAACAATTAACTTTTTTTTTTTATATAATACAAGGTGGCAAACGAACAAGCGGCCACCTAAATCCACCGAAATGGACAGCGACCGCTGCCCATAAACATCCGCAATTGCAGATGCGTTGCCTACCCTTCATTGACGGAAGACACGAGACGACGAGACGCATATAAAGAGGAAATTTTCCCTTTCTATACGTCTCCTCCACCGTCACATCCACTTATCCTTCCCATCCTTTCCTCTCGAGAAAAGGGTGGAAAGGGAAAGGGATAAATTTAGGCCTCCGGCACCACACTCATCAGACGAAACGCAGCATTGCTTTCACTTCACGCCTGTTTTCTGTGTGGTCGTGGTATTACACCGGGCGGCTCGCCCATTCGTGCAAAGATGTTAAAGCGGGCTCTACCACTGTTAAACTAACTAACTAATCAGTAACAACATTAAAGTCTCGTCAAAATGTAGAGCATTAAATTCTGTTCACAGTTATTGTTTGACTTTGTTTAAAAGTTGAAAAGTCATGAGAAATGAAATACAATTAAGATACTGTTTATAGGTTGGTATTAAAAATCACGACACAGTTACTTACAAGGTTATATTTTAATTGTTATAACGATAGAGTTAACAAAATTCTTAACCACCATCTGATTTATCTTACCACACATTTTTTTTTCAACATCTAGTGATTCAGGATATCTTTTATGCCTAACGCAAGATATGTTATCATGTTACATTTGTCTTAATGGTTACCTTCAAACAGTTACTTTACTTGACACCTTTGTGGAGTCTAGTCTCACCAAGAGCACTCGGTGAAAAGCTCTTTTAAGTAACTGGCTCAAGCTTTTCCAAGACCTTGACTTGAGATGTAAGTTAGGCTAAAATAGTCGGGTAACATAGTTGTAAGGTCCCTTACACTAAATATTATTAAGTAACTTGGTGATGGGTGATGGACCTTCTTTTTATAATGGATTAAAAATGTAGTGTTAAAATTATCGCAAATTGTTTGCTTTGTTTCAAACTTTTGATATTCAAATGGTAATATTTGTGTAGTTGAAGTATTTTAATGTTTGTTTTGTTTCATACTATTTTTTCTTGTATTCAAATAAAAGATGTTCGTAATTGTTCGCGTAAAAAATATTTCATTTGAAAATAATATCGTAGAAAAAAT